GTGCTCTGCCCTCCGCGGCCCCCGCCCGCTGCCTCCGTGCGCACCCTGCCCGGCCCGCGCCCCTCTCCGTGGCGTCCTCTCGCTCACCCACGTGGACCTCGGAGGCGCTGAGGGCCTCGGATCGCGGCTCCGGAGCAGGCTCTACAGATAAAGAGAAAGGCTGTCAGGTGGCCTCGGGTCGCCACCGGGAAGCGCCCGAGGGACCGGATGCTGAAGCGTGGCGGTTTAAAAAAAAAAAAAAAGGGTGCCTGGTAATCGTGGTTCTTTTTCTCCTCCAGCAACGAAGGTTTTGGGAACAGTAAAATGGTTCAATGTAAGAAACGGATATGGTTTCATCAACAGGTGAGCTGACCATCCTCCCCCTTGCACTCTCTGCTCCAAGCTGCAGGCTTTGCGGATTCGGGATTGCTTAAGCTTGGGTACGTCGGTTGCTGCTCTGGTGTGTTAGTGGGGTTTGTGTTTTCCTTTATGGCTGAAGGGATTAGTGGATTTAGAGATGGTCTTTGTTTTGCAACAAATTATTAATCTGAAGTTAACTTAAAGGCCAAGTGGAATGCGTGATCCATCCCCTGACAGGGCAAACTGATGGAAGTAAGATCGCTGTGATTCTGTGAGACCGGCCCACCACATTTTTATGCTTATTGTTTTATACGTTACTGAAATTGGTATTTGAAACGGTGACCCATTGATTAGTATATAGGTTATTACAACTTGTTAACCTTTGGGGGTAACATGATTTAACAATGCAATTATGTGAGGTCTGGTCAGATTGACTACGGTTGTAGTGCCTTTGTTTAACGTTTCAATATACACAGTTTGAATGCCTTCGATGAATTTATTTTAGGATTGCTTTGACAACGAGCTGTTTTCATTTGCCCATAGAGTAACATCTGGAATAACATGGCCCTGGCCTTCCTCAATAATTATTTCTTCTACTCCTTTGTCCCCAAATCATATCTATTGGATCAATTTTATTAAAGCTTTGCTTGTAGCTTTAATAATCAGAGAGGCCTTTGCCCATTCTAATAGCTTCCTTTGTAGTTGAAGGCAGGGGTACAGACTACATCTCAGGAATGATGCTTAGGGTTGTTTGCAGCAACAGTGGAGTGAGGTGCAGTTTGCCCAGTGCTCCCCACGTCTCCCCTGTGAGCGAGGCATCCTCTCCAAGATGGCTGCCAGGCTGGCAGTGCAGTGCTGGTGTAGTGCACCCTGTGTGCTCACAGGAGGCTCAGCATCTCACTAGTCTCAGTGGTGACACCATACAGTCTCAGCATTTTCTTAAATCCTTACTTTAGAAGGCATTAAACAACTAGAGGTTTAAAAGACACAAGAAGTAATACTCAATGCTTGTGAAATGGACAACACTGCAGAACACCAAATGGGCAAATCAAGTTTAAAGACAAGACATAATTGGCTGATGAAAAACCATTCATTATTCAACCATAAAAGTATTGTGGGGGAGAGCAAAGGAAATTGTAAGTATTGATGGCCTGTTTTCCACGTTTGCAGTCATGGGGAAATATTTTGTTCCAAAATCTTTAGGAATTTTCCATCTGTTCTTATACTGTCTGCCTTCCTGTGACAGGCCAAGGCTACATTTTTTCATTAGTTTTTTGATAATGGGTTACAAGTGAGGAAGGAAGGGAATACTTTGGTGCTTATAATTGACCACTTTTTAGTTGATTGATCTCTTAACTTATTAGCATTTCAGTTAGTATTTCCATCTTAATAACCCTTAACAGTGATTTTTGAATTTGTGTGCTTGCTTTGGAAGAGTACATACTCCTGCGCTCTTCCTGCCCAGCCTTGGATTCTCTGGGTCTAGGGTACATTTTTAACAAGAACTCCAGGGGATTATGGCTTGTGGGTAATAACCTTGAAAAACATTGCTTTTTAACCTTGACCCAATATAATCAAAGGATATCACTGGTGTGCACAGTAGAAGGAACTGTAATTTGCAGCCCTTTCTGTGTAGATTGTAGTTTGTGTGTGCTTTTAAAATTGTAGCATGTGCTTTCTGTTTTGCTGTATTTTGTTAAAATGGATATAGGTTATAATCTTTTTGAAGTGAATAATTCAAGATGAAAGAGTAGTTCTTTACATTTCTAAATTTTTATGTGATGAGATGTCATTGCTTGAATATTTCTGTTCTGACTTGCAATCAACACAATTGGTCATCCTCCAGGGCAAGTTAAATGTAAATTGGTTTTTGGTGATCCTTTGTTTGGACTGTCCAAACCTCAACTATTCTGTCAAATTAACTGGCTCAAATGTGCTTTATATTTCTAATTTAGTTGTTTCAATGATTCTGAGACTTGAATAAGACACTCTATAATCTGCCTGCGGCTAAATCCACAAGAGGTTTGCCTTGATTAAGGGAAAATGTATGTCTTAAAGAACTAAAGTTCTTGATGCTAACAGTTGGTTAAGTATGTAGAGCCACCTGGAGACGTGGGGGATGGGGGAGAATGACTTTTCATCTAGTTTTTCTGAGCAATTCATTTTGTTTGTATACCGAGTCTGCAGAAGATAATTAGATAATGTGACCAAGAAGGTCTTGTTTACCCTCCCCCCTTATTTTTAATTTTTACTATGAAAAACTTGACTCAAAACTGTTGAAGGTAACATTAGAAGGATGCCACATGGGTCAGTGGTTTCAGGATTTGAATCTCTGCTTTTTTAAATTAAAAACCTGATTTTTTTTGTCTTTTGCTTCTAGCTGTTGTGGATTGATCCATGGTTACCAAACAAATGGTTGGCATGAATCAGTGAAAATTTCTTTTCAATGGGACATGTATCTTTTATAATGACCAGAACAGGAATACTTTTCTATTCTTTGGGGTAATTTTTTTTATTGATTTCAGAGTGAGAGATAGAAACATCAAGGATGAGAATCATTGACCAACTGCTTCCTGCCCACTCCCTGCTGGGGATCAAGCCCACAACCTGGGCATGTGCCCTGATCTTGGATAGAACCATGACTTCCTGGTTCATGGATCAATGTCGGCCAGGCTGGACAATACAGTGTCTTTAAAAGGAATGTGATTAATTTCTGTCATTTAAAATTCAGGAGATAGCACCAAAAATATCTAGAATTTTACCTTTAGGGCCTCTAATCCCAGGCAAATAAAAAGTTCTGGCTATGAATATTATTATCACACTAGAGGCCTGATGCACAGAGATTCATGCAAGAATAGGCCTTCCTTCCCCTGGCTGCCGGCACTGCCTTCGCTCCGGCCCAGAGCCACCTTTCCACCTTAGCACTGCCCAGAGGCCCGGAATGGCCAGGGGTGGTCCCAGTGCCGCCATCTTTGTCATCAATTTGCATATTCCCTCCTTATTGGCTGTGGGTGCCTCCATCTTGTTGCAAAGTGGTGGTCAATTTGCATATTCCATCTTTATTAGATAGGCTTTAAACGAGGCATACATTCTCTTTATTTACCACAATCTGTTGGGCTTAGTTTTCTGCTGTTGATTTCCCTTCCTGCCTGGCCTTTGTGTGTGCATTTGAATGTATTACCCATGAGCTAAGAAACAGCATTTAGCTATCCCTCTTTACAAAAATACTTAGTCGTAGCTGTCAAGTGTATTCTCCCTTCGTAGAGGTGGGGGAGAGTTGGTGCCCCTTTTTGGGGGTTTCGTGTGTGTATAAAGGTGACTTCCTTCACACAATAAGTAAAAGTAATGTTATTTAAATGCCTTAAATGAACCAATCCATATAATCCTCAAGCCTTTGAGATATAAGTACCATTCTAAGGCACAGAGAGCAAATTGATCCCAGGAAGAGACTAGCTAGCAATGGGCAGAGCTGGGATTTGAACTGCATTTTCTTACTCTGGAGTTTGGGAGTTTGTCTTCACTGCTGTTCTACAGTCTCTAGTCATCAATTTGGTGGCTGTCCATATAGTTACAGGTAATTTCTTAGGGTGGCTGTTATTAGCTATTTAGTCTTTCAGTAAGCTGAATGATGTCTAGCATGTCACTGCAGCTCCTGTGTGCTGACTGCTAGTCCTCAGATTTGAAAAGCTCTACTTTTCACTGCCTGTTTTATGTGATGAAGAATTGCTATAATAGTACCAGTTTACCCTATAGATTGGTTTTACAAATTAAAGGTCTTGCTTAACACATTTCGTACCGCTCAGGAGTTTTCTCTTGTTTCTCACGCCATCTGTTAAGGACCGCTCACGAGTGTTCTCGTTTTTTCACGCCCATGGAAAGAGGAGCGAATCTAGATACTTAGGTAAATTTTGTTTGGTCCCTCTTCATAGAGGAAAACGTTTTACGCAGTACCATATGTTAAAGTACTAGGAACTTTAATTGTTTAATTGTTTTTGTAAATAAAAATGTTTTAATTATTGAAAAACAACACCTGAAGTGCATTATGATGATTTAAATAACGTGCAGTTTGCCCAAAAACGTGCGGTCCCTGGCGTATGTCTTAGAGATTTCTATGCGGTACGCAATGTGTTATAGTTAATATTGGGAGGCAATTAAGGAATTAAAGGAGAGAACATCAGACCTTAATTTCACTTCTGAATCTTGTTTTGTTGATTATGTCTGGCTGAGCTAAGAATGGGTTTTACCTTTTTAAAGGGTTTTTAAAAAACATGCAATAGTGTCTGTGACCCCACAAAACCTTAAATACTATATGGTTCATAAAAGGAATAGATTTAGGGACAGGGGAGGCATAATAATATATTTAAGTAGTTCCCAAATTATGTCTTAAAACATGACTTAGAACTGGGCTCTTATGGCAGTGACTTGAATATAGAGCACTTTAGGATTGATTTAGATGCTGATTTATGTTAGCCACTGATGAAGGCCAGAAACCATCCAGTGTTCACCAAGTCGCTGATATGTAAAATCTAGAATAGACAGGTAATGTGTTCATTTTCTGCTTTCCTAGTAGGGTAATTGCTGAGTCTCCTACCCTTCAAATCTCAGCCCTTGGAAGCACATACAATCTAGCTCACTTAAGCAGGCAGAATGGTGAAAGGTGATGTGGGGAATAGGAGTGTGTCTCTGCTAGGTGTTTGGAGTGCTTTAAAGAGAACAAATAAAACAATAAATGGGATTTGTGATCTTACAGTCACCTGTAGGAATTGGAAATTGGTATTTGAATACTTTGGAATTTGGAGCATATACAGGGTATCCCAAAAAATGCATACACTTAACATTTGATAACTCAATTGATGTTTATTTTCAGATATAACTCATTGGAATTAATAATGGTATTCAAAGTGTGTTTCCATTTTAGGGGGACACCGTGTAGCTGATAAATCCTGGAGTTTGTTTGTGTAACCAAAGGGCTATAAATTAATTTATGCAGTTGGAAAAATTAG